GCCGTATCTAGCAAGGGATGAGAAAAATGAAAATAAAACCCAATGAAACTAGACAGTGTTATTGAATTAAAGTAAAAAAATACCCCCCCCCATAGCAGAAAGTTAAATCACCAGTCCTGTTATCAGTTTTTAAATTTAAAAAAATTGTTTCGGTACCAGAGATCAAACTCAGGACCTTGGCTTGTGAGGTGGGCAGAGGCATCACTGAGCTGAATCCCAGGCCCTCTGTTGATTATTACTTAGTGAGAGCTTGGCTCATAATTATATCTGAAGTCGGCCAGGCCGGCTTTGAACTCACCAGGTGGCCCACCTAGGCAGGCCTGTTTCATCCTCCTGAGTGTCTGGATTCACAAGTGTGGACCATCACACCTGGCCCTACACTTTTAATTCAAACATTCACGGGGGTCATTGTGGTTTCCCATGCAGCTATAAGAACTCGAACAGATCTACAACAGCGGTATATGGCTATAGTCCCAGCTACTGGGGAGGCTGAGGCAGGAGGATGGCAAGTGTGAGCGCAACCTGAAAGATTTAGTAAGACCCATCTTAAAAGTGTTAGGAATAAACGTCAGTGTGAAGGTCTTGGACTCAATCCCCAGGGCTGCAAAAGTAAAGTGAAATAAAGTTAAGTATTTTAAATGAAGGCTGAAAACATGATGCAGCCCAATGACACTATGATGCATGGGGTGGGGCCAGAGCGCAGGGACTGTGTGAAAAGCTCGCAGGGTCCTCACAGGCAGCCTTGGCCTGAGCCCTGGCCTTTGACCTTTCAGGGTCTCAGCGGCCCATGATCTCTGCCAGATGGGTTTCTGGCCCGAACTGAGTGGACAGCATGTGTGTTCAGAGTTTCTCTTACAGTGCTTTTGAGGAAGGGTTACTAGCTTCAGATAAGGGAAGAACACCAAGTTTCCTTTGTAAGGAAATTGATTTAAGAACTTGATTTAAAAGACGGTAACGCCAGTTAAAACCAGGTGGTGCTGGTTGGGGTGGCACATGGCTATAATCCCAACTAGGGAGGCTGAGGCAAGAGGATCGTTTGAGGTCAGCCTGGATAGCTAAGGGAAACTGTTTTAAAAGGGTGTGCGCGCGTGTGTGTGCGCGCACGTGTGTGTACGTGTGTGCGTGCGTGTGCGTACATGCATGTGTGCGTGCGTGCGCACGTGCATGTGCATGCGTCCGTGTGTTTTGGAGTGCGTGTGCGTGCGCGCGCGCGCATGTGCGCGTGAGCGTGCGTGCATGTTTCTGCGTGTGTGCGCGCGAGTGTGCATGTGCACATGCGTGTGTGCGTATGCGTGCGCGTGCATGTCTGTGTGTGCATGTGCGCGTGTGCACGCGTGTTTGCGTGTGCATGTGCGTGCTTGCGAGCGTGTGCGGGTGCGCAGCTGTATGTGCGTGTGTGCACGTGTGTGCACGAGCGTACATGCGAGTGTGTGGGCGCGTGCACGTGTGCGTGTGGGTGCGTGAGTGCGCGTGTGTGCGTGTGCACGTGTGTGTGGGCGTGCGCATGTGCGTGTTAGCAAGCGCGCGCGTGCGTGCGCGTGCGTGTACTTGCGAGCGTGTGCGCGTGTGCGCGTGTGCGTGTGTGTAGTGGCAAGCGTGTGTGCATGTGCGTGTGTGTGTGTGCACGTGCGTGTGTGCGTGCACGTGCGTGAGGGTGCGTGTGTGCTTGTGCATGCTTGCGAGCGTGTGCGGGTGCGCGCATGTGTGTGCACACGCGCGTGTGCGTGCCTGCACGTGTGTGCACGAGCGTGCATGCGTGTGCGAGTGTGCGTGCCAGTGCGCGGGCGCGTGCATGTGTGCGCGTGCATGTGTGTGCGTGTGTGCGTGTGCATGTATGCGTGAGTACACTGTGTGCATATGCACTCGTGCGCGTGCGTGCGCGTGTGCATGCTTTGCGAGCATGCGCGTGTGCACGCGCGTGGACGTGTGCGCATGCGTGTGCACGTGCGGTCAGGTGCGTGAGTGAGCGTATGTGCGTGTGCGCGTGCGTGTGTGTGCGTGTGCGTGCGTGTCCTTGCAAGCGTGTGTGTGTGCGTGTGTGCGTGTGCATGAGCGTGCATGTGTGCACGTGTGCGCGCGTGTGTGCATGTGCATGTACGTGCTTGCGAGCGTGTGCATGCGTATGCGAACATATGTGAGTGCACGGGCGCGTGCATGTGTGCGTGTGCGCGTGCGTGCGTGAGTGCGCATGTGTGCGTGTGCACGTGCGCGTGTGCGTGCTTGCGAGCGTGTGTGTGTGCGTGCACACCTGCGTGTGCATGTGCGCGCACGTGCGTGAGCGAGCGTATGTGCGTGTGCGTGCACGCGTGTGTGCTTGCGAGCGTGTGTGCATGCGCGTGTGTGCTTGCGAGTGTACGTGCGCGTGTACTTGCGAGTGTGTGTGCATGTGCGTGTGTGTGTGCGTGTGTGCGAGCGTGCACGTGTGTGCCCACGCGTGTGCGCGTGTCTACGTGTGCATGTGCGCGTGTGTGTGCATGCGTAAGCGTGTGCGTGCACACGTGAGCGTGTGTGCGTTTTTCTGCGTGCGTGTGTGCGTGTGCGCACGCACGTGTGTGCGTGTGCATGCGTGTGTACGTGTGTGTGTGTGTGTGTGCATGCGGTGAAGTAATTAAATGAGGTCCTGGGTTCAATTCCCAGCACACAAAAACATGACAGCCTGTGGGAGTCAGTCATGGCCCACTGGCATTTGACATTTGAAAGATAACTTCTTTATAATCAAGGCATTGACACAATGTGTGGTCAGGATGTTCCTAATTAACATTTGTTCCTTTTCAAGGGCTCCATGTTTAAACTTCTTTTTGACCCTGCATGGGAGAAACTGGAAGAGATAGCCAGCCAAAGATCTGACGTTATCTGTAGGAGTCAGGTGCTTCCTGTTGATGTGAGCCTTTAAAAGGAGCTGTTTCTGTGAAATAAGTCAGACTTCTCTTGGTCTCCACTCAGGCTTGAGTGTTCTTTCCTTTCTCAATCCTCACTCCCCAACTCAGGCATGTTCGTGACGTGACGGCTGGACCGCCACACAGCCGAACCAAAAGCCCAGGTGACAGGGCCCTTTCCTCCCTCTGCCCCAGGCTCGCCCTGCGCTAAGTGGGGGCCACTCGTCGTCCTTGAGCTCCAGGAATCCTGCCAGGCGACCCCCTTGAAACTCTGCCTCTGGGTCCCGAGGGGCTCCGCGTCCTCCACCCTCTCCTAAAGCTCTGGGGGCGCTCAGGTTTAAGGATCAGCAGGAAGAGACCCAGATTGGGCGAGGACGGAGAGCCAGTCCTGTCCGAAAACGCCTAGCGTGAGCTCCGGCTCTTCAGCACCCAAGCTTGGCGGCGCCCGTCCAGGAGCCCACTCCTGCCGGAGGCCAAGGTGGACCCGCGGACCTAGAGGAGCCTGCGCTGGTCCGTGTGGATGTGGGACCTAGAAAGACCTGGGAGGACGGGAGCGGTTATTACTGGAGGACCAGGCAAAAGTCAAAGCCACTTAACATTTTTTTTAAAATCAAACACTTTATTTCCACATAACAAGCGCAAAAACCTCTCCAACACTTTAACAATACAATTAACGCGGGTATGACGTCATTCTATACTACTCCAAGCCCCAAAGGCCATCAGCTCCACATTAGGTCCAAACATCTCCAGACATGGTTTTTCAAAGCTACCTTTGGTTTTTGGAAAAACCAGTATGGAAGTCAATATACACTGAACAATATCTGTTTCTGGAAAGGTGTCCGACAACACGAGCTTACACCTTGCAAGCTGGAGTGGTCTGAAGCCATTCACTGAAATGCGGACACAGGTTCGGGCCGTGCGCCCTGAGACACAGGTGCGGTGGGCGCGGCGCGCATCAGGTGAGCTCATCCGCTCCTGCTCCGGCTGAGGCTTGAGATGGGCACAAATGGTGGGGAAGATGAAGTCACAGAGTCTGTGGGCAAGAGAGCCCCAAGATGCTGAGGGCAGGAAGGAGCAAGCTACAGTTTCCCACTGTTCTCACATTATCTCAGGGTGAAATTGCAGATGAGTTCAGATAAAATGCTCAAATATTTGCTTAGATTTTTAACTGGTTGCTCTATGAGAACCTCATACATAGCAACTTAGAAACTTTCACTATAAAAAGAACCTACAAATAAATTCACAAAAAAGAGACAATTAATGTTGAGCAGCCAAAAAGTCATGGTTTATTATATCTGAAGAAAATTTCATAAATCAAACACAACCAAACTGTACATTTTACAATCACATTCTATTTGTAAACAGTTAAAAGCCACTGACTTCTTTTGCATCTTAGGACACAAACAGTTAGAATCAAGGCAATGAAATGATGGCAAATTCTGTACTGTTAAAATTTTTACCCTTGTTTAGTCTCTTCTTTGACTAAGCAAGCATTATAATACCATTTGTGGGCAACAAAAGGGGGAGGAAAAATTTAAAAATGGTGTAACTCGTTAGTTTGCAACAACATTTAAAATTTTCTTTATACAACAAACAACTCTGTAAGCCCAATATCTTGGTTACAGTATGCATAGTTACTGATTTCGGCTTTAAGGTACAACAGTTAGACATTAACACAGTCACGAGAGAGCAGGGGCATAGAGAGCCACTTGATGGGGTTACAAAAACTATTAGCTATTGATTATTAGCAAACCATCATCACTCACTAATAAAAAGACAGCATCTGAAAGCAAAACATCAAACTCCAGCTTTAAGCATTTTTTTTTCTTTTTTCTGTGTGTGTGTGGCAGAGAAATTCTTTAACAGAGCAATATGTAGTATCAGTGCTAAAAGTTGGGGGTTCTCTTCTTTTCCTATAAGAAACTACAAGGAGTTTTTTTTTTTT